TTGGGGACATTGGGGACACTCAGGTGTGACACGGGGGGTTTGGGGACATTGGGGACACAGGTGACACTCACATATGCCAGGGGTGGCCTCAGCAGGGCCAGGCGGGGGTTTGGGGACCTTGGGGACACTCAGGTGGGTTTGGGGACCTTGGGGACACTCACATATGACAGGGGTGGCCTGAGCAGGGCCAGGCGTGGGGCGCGGCCGCCGTAGGTGTCCCCTTTGAGGGTGAAGGTGGCCAGGTGGCCCTCGGCGCTGAGCAGGACCCCGAAGGGATCGGCCACCGCACAGTGAACGATCGGGGACCCCAAATCCACCGGCACAAAGTGCAGCTGAGTCACTGCCGAGGGGACACGGGGGACAATGTCACCCACCCGGTCACCTCCTGTGTCACCCACCACCCTGGGGTCACAGGGGGACAGTGCCACCCACCCAGTCACCCCCTGTGTCACCCACCCCCCTCCTGCAGCTGCGTCACTGGGGAGGGGACACGGGGTCACAGGGGGACAATGTCACCCACCCCGAGTCACCCCCTGTGTCACCCACCACCCTGGGGTCACGGGGGGACAGTGCCACCCACCCAGTCACCCCCCTGTGTCACCCACCCCCCTGGGGTCACGGGGGGACAGTGGCACCCACCCCCCTCCTGCAGCTGTGTCACTGTGGGGTCACTGCCACCCACCCCGAGTCACCCCCCTGTGTCACCCACTACCCTGGGGTCACAGGGGTGGCAACGTCACCCACCCAGTCACCCCCTGTGTCATCCACCCCCCTCCTGCAGCTGTGTCACTGGGGAGGGGACACGGGGTCACGGGGGGGTAATGCCACCCACCCAGTCACCCCTCGTGTCACCCACCACTCTGGGGTCATAGGGGGTCACTGCCACCCACCCAGTCACCCCCCTGCGTGACCCAACCCCTTCCTGCAGCTGTGTCACTGTGGGGTCACTGTCACCCCTCATGTCACCCCCCTGTGTCACCCACCCCCCTCCTGCAGCTGTGTCACTGGGGAGGGGTCATAGGGGGGCAATGTCACCCACCCTGTCACCCCCTGTGTCACCCACCACCTCCTGCACCTGTGTCACTGTGGGGTCACTGCCACCCACCCAGTCACCCCCCAGTGTCACCTCCTTCCCTCCAGCAGCCAGGAAACGGGTGACAGGGCACCCAGCTGTGTCCCCAGGTGTGTCCCATGTCCCCAGCTGTGTCCCCAGGTGTCCCCAGGTGTGTCCCATGTCCCTAGGTGTGTCCCAGGTGTCCCCAGGTGTGTCCCAGGTGTGACCCACCTCCCTCGAGCAGCCTGAGCCCCAGGGGTGACACCTGCACCATGTACTGTCTTTCCCCAGCTGTGTCCCAGGTGTGTCCCCAGGTGTGTCCCAGGTGTCCCCAGGTGTCCCCAGGTGTGTCCCAGGTGTGACCCACCTCCCTCGAGCAGCCTGAGCCCCAGGGGTGACACCTGCACAATGTACTGTCCGTCCCCCAGGTGTGTCCCCAGGTGTGTCCCAGGTGT